AGCATGCATTGATTGTTGATGACAATACAATTGTTTAAGCAAATGAAAACAGAGAGAGAGAGAGAGAGAGAGAGAGAGAGAGAGAGAGAGAGAGAGAGAGAGAGAGAGAGAGAGAGAGAGAGTTGAGAGTAAATCTCTACTTTGGTAAATAATTATGTATTTTCAACTGCTTTTATAGTTTTCCTATCTATCGTCTGAAAACTTTGGGATACATTACAATATTTTAATGACAGTACATTTGCTAGTAAATCACATGTATTGATCAGTTTATTCTTAAATCAGGGATAGACATGATTATCTTTTATATTCACTTGTCCTTCGGGCAAGTGAAGGGCCCAATTTTGACTTGTCCGATGGAAAAACTTGGTTGCCCAAAATTTTGAAAGAAGAAAATTCAGTAATTGTATCTTATTTTGTTTTTCGAAATATTAACTTTTAGTCAGTGACAAATTAATATCTTTTTTTGAACTTAACAGAAAATGTTGATATGACTGTGATGCTACATTTTGTAAATATATGTTAACCACTTTTCTGTCATTTTCTATCCTGAGGCTTAAAACACACGTGGCAATACAAGAATATTATTTTCTTATAATTTTTTTTCCAAAATATTAACTTTTCCCCCTAAAAAGTTGAGGTCACGCTAAAAGGAAAACAGTTGCCATGTTTTCAATCAAGATACGTTGTGCACGGAGAATAACTGCATGGTGTTCTTTATATCAAAGAAAACAGAATAACAAACCCAATTTCTTAAAGAAGGTATGATCCAGAAACGCTACCGATGGATTAAAAATGCAAAAACAATGTCCCGTTTTTGGCAGAAATCAGTTCAATTAATTTATTTTGCTGTTTATAAACTAATGTAAGATTAAAAAAGTGTTTCTATAAAAAATATCCACTTGCCCGATCGGACAAGTACATCGACGGTTTCACTTGCCCTAACTGATGATTTACTTGTCTTGGGCAATCGGACAACAGTTAATGTCGATCCCAGTAAATTACCATTTTTTAGAATATGTAGATAATAACACTTTAATGCAATAATTTAAAAAAAAATTATTTGACATGATCTGAAAACAATTAATAAAAAAACACTCTTTAATTTTTTTTTTCTCTTTCAGTGCATTTGCAGTCAAAGTTCTAAAAGTTCTGGGGGGATATACAACAGTTAATTTGCCAGCAAACAGTTCGATTGACCCTATGAAAGAATATTTTTGCTATCAAAATCATTATAACAACCATTAAAGAGTATAAGAAATGCTGACTTATGAAGTTGTTAAAATTAAAAATCACATCTTATCAGTCATTGTAAATATTTTTTCAAATAAACTCTAACTCTTTCAACACTGAGTAACTTTTATCAACCAACCCCTGGTACACTAAGTAACTTGGGGCATCACTCAACATTTCACCTTCCGTCACAAAAAATACTATAACTTCTTTATTTCTTTGAATATTTTAATAATTGACACATCATTAAGGCATTTCTCTTTTAAATTTAAATTTTACATAAAAAAATTTTTTATCATCAAAAACACTAATAAAATTCATATTTTTTATAACGGATTTATGCAATAATTTAATAAATTTGCTGCTATGAAGTTTCAAAATCAATTACATTCTTACCATCGTTCAAAAGAGAAATTATTTCCGAGTAAAATGATATGCAATATGTCAGAATTTATTTAAAAGCAAGTCCATAATTATTAATAAATAAAACGGGGTGTTTAGGACATCGGAGTAAAACATCCTCTGTTTACCTTGATATTCCGCCAGATCTTTCATCCGAAAAATTTCACAACATTGTTAATAAATATTTTTGTAGTCTAGAAACATCTTAATGTCTGAAATTTCTGATTTTATTAAATCTTTCATCGCCAGAAGTGTTTTCGTTTTTTACCGCCATTTTGCTTTATCTGTTTATCATGAAGATGTATCGATTGTTGATGACAAGGGCTAAATTGTTTAAACAAATCCAACTTTTCTAAAGACATATATGTAGTGTTGTCAAATCGGTTGAAACTCAGAATCGATTAATCGGTAACATCGGTTGACCCTAACCGACTGATCATTGGCCAATAATTGAATCGGTAACCCTTTGCATAAAATAAGCATTAGATTTTATAAATTAAAATTGAAATAATGTAAGTAAAGGTGCATTGTAATGTTGTATATATGCAGTTTGATTAACGATCTCATACTTTTTTGGTAATTAATTATGTATTTTCAACAGCTTTTAATTTTCATGATCATCTAAAACTATATGGAATTAATTTTTTACAATGTTTTAAATATAATATATTTTATTTGCTAGTAAATCACATTTATTTTAGATTTCAATTTATAATGTTAAATATCAGGGATAGATATGATTATTTTTTTTATATTTTTTAGTTTTTGTCTAATTTTAGTTAAATGTTTCATTTCAAGTTTATTATTAACAGAATTTTGACTTTCAGTCCAATTAAGTGATGTGCAAAACAACTTGTGAAAATATCTCATAATACCTAATAAAATTTTAGAATAACAAAAATAATTTCTTAAAAAACAATTAATGTCATTATCTTTTTAATCTATGCATAAAACATTAAGAAAATGAGTTCTAAAGAGACAATGTGTTTTTCAATGAATCATGTGTCAAATTGATTGTGTTGTTTATAAACGAAATGAAAAATCCAGTTAAAAAATATTTGGTATAAAAATATCCACTTTCAAGAGTTATCTTTCCTAATTACCCAAGACTAAACACTAAGGAACGGTTTCATCTAAAATTCAGCCTTAAATTGCCAGAGTATACATTTAAATCAATAAAGCAAATATATAAATTAACACCAACACAGTAAATAGTGCAAGTAAATAAAATTTTAATTTCCAAGGTTTTTTTAACTCGAATATATGTCATTGATTGATAGAGCACTGCATGCATCGCTATGAAATTTTTACTTATTTGGCGAAGGTTATTTTGTTTTCTTTTGTTTCTGCTTAACAGCAATTCTTCTTGGTGTAAAAATCACTTTGTTTTCACTTTTTGTTTCATCTATTTTTAAAGCGTTTTAAAGGTCAGGGTCATTTTATAGTTCTAAAAGTTCTGGAAAACCGGCCGACACAATGGAGGTTTATTTTTTTGTGTAGTACGTCATCAAAAAGTGGTGTAATGAGCCTCCTTAAACAAGTAGTTTAGTTTCTTCAGTTTAGAAATACAAATATCATTATCTTTTGATTTATTTCAAACAGATTTAAAGTACATGTATTTTAAAATAGTAAAGGACAACTCTTGAAAGATATATATTTTGATAACAAGAGCCTGTTTTTGAAATAAAAGTGAGAAAAGTACTGTAAAAAAGATATGTGCTGAAATATTTTCGATTGTGAAAAAACTTTAAAAATCAGCCTACAAATCCAACTAAATTCATCGTGACAACACATTTATATACATACAGCATTTCAAAAAACTAATATGATTGCCAGGTTTTTGTCCACCCATGTTTTTTGTATGTTTGTATGCAGAGAATATATTTTAAGCATTTTTTTTATTAATTTAAAGAAAATATTGCAGCAGTTGTACCATCAAAAACATACTTGAGACTTCAAGCATCAAGTCACACTATAGATATCTTGACTAGCATTACATGTCATCACAGCTAGAGCTCATCAGAGCTTACAGAGACAGCTGAGCCTCTGGTTGAAATTATAGACCTAGTGCAATTTTTTACAAAAGTCATTATTATACAATTAATTACCCCTTTAGAGGTCAACATGGTGAAATAAGGACCCGAGACTTGGCCCACGAGGTGACCTAACCTGACTGAGGCCGCATAGTGGCTGAGGTCAGGGCAGGTCATCGAGTAGGCCAGGTCAAGGGTCCTTATTTCACCATGTTGAACTCACAAGGGGTAATCAATTGTTTTATTAAACTGATATATATTGAAAAGTATGCATCTCTAAACGTATCAATTCTTTCTTTGATCGGGATCGGGATTTGCTATGCTCCGTATAGTGAAGTTGTTTACATTGACGTCTGCAAGTCATGTAAGTTTTTGCATCATGATTTACTGATTAAAAGAAAATTTGGTTGATAGTGACATACATTGTTATAACTAGCAATTACTTTTCCTCTACACAGTCAAAATCTAACACAGAATTCAACTCTTTAAAGAGCCGCTTCTACATTCCATTAAACTGAATTGTAACGATATTTTGAAATGAGTAAACCGTTTAGGTTAACGATAAAATTTTACTGTATTCTGTATGGTATTGCAAAACAGGCCATGCACAATTTTGGAAATATGTTGTTTGTCTCAAATAATTATCATTTAATCATTAATTTCACTCAAAAACGAATTTTTGATTAAGAGGTCATTATTTAGCGGTGTCATTAATTATAATGAACTGGTCATAATATCCCATGTACAATGATTCCTAGGTCATTATTGCTGTAAACAGTACCATTTGGAGTCATTGTTGTGTTTTAAAGTTTTCTTTTCAGCCAATCAAATGCGAGTATTATCAAAAGAGGTATAATAAAGAGTATTTTATTGTTTCTTTTAAGATTTCTACAAACCAAAAGCCTTTTATATTTTATGTTATTTATTTATTCGCCATTATCGCATGGAATCCTGGTAGCATAGGAATTCTGGGAAGGTTTCACACAAAAATTTGCTTGATGTATGTCCAAATTTACTCTTACACACCCTGCTTGCTGCACTTGCAATAATAACTTAATTTGTAAGATGATAGATCTATTCATATTTTCCCAATCTTGGTGCAAAATGGTCCAAGACCCCTGTGTGCAAGATGATTCCATTTTGAATTAATTTTCACTGGGTTCACAAGTGCGCAAGAGTCTGTCAGTATATTTGCTCTGAATAGCTCAGTGGTTAGAGCGCTGGCACAGAAGCCCTAGATTCCAGTCCGGGTTGAGACTAGATTTTTCACCACCTGGGTCCTAATGATTTTTCACCACCTGTGACCTAATGATTTGCTTTTTTTTCTATGATTATAGGTTGACTTTTGGGAGAGAGTCCATTGGTGATCATCATGGTTATAAATCACCTGATCAGAACTGTTCTACTGCTGGCGTTCCTAAGTACATGTGTTGGTGCCATAAAGCCTACAAAACCACATTCCGTGAAGCCCATTCCATCGAGAGGAAGTAAGTTTATAGTTACAATGAACCATTTTATATGTCGAAAATGTCAAAGATGTTGGTATCCAATTTTAAATCAATAGGCAAACCATAGCCCATTTGGGTAGGATGGGACCATAATAGAGGATCAAATTTTTACATTCAAATATATGGGGAAAATTTCTCAGAAAATCTTCTTCGCAGTAACAACAGGACCAGAAAAGATGAAACTGAGTTGAAAGCATCCTGAGTTTCTCTAGATTCTATGTTATCAAAATCATGGCCCTTGAGGATATAGCAGAATAACAATAGGAAATCAAATTTTAACAAAGTTTAACAAAGGAGTAAATTTATATTGAAAAAAATCTTGTTCTCTTGAAACACTGGATAAGGAAAATATGAAACTAAGAGGAAAGCATCTCAAAGTATTGAAGATTCTAAAGTGTTCACATTATAAACTTTGGGGTAGGGTGGGGCCTCAATTAAATTTTTACATTGAAAATAAATTGGTCATCTTTTGTTAATGAACCAAATGGCCAGATAAAAAAAAAAAGATAAACTTTCTAAGGTTTTGTAGATTCTAAAGTATTTGAAATTTTAAAACAGACAGGAATTTGGTGGGGTCGCAATAGGAGATCAAAGTTTTTTTACAAACCGGAGTACATGTGTATACATGAATGTAAGAAAAATCTTGTTCTAACTAATCTTGTTCTAATAAACCAAGATGAAACATGTGAAGGCATCATAGGTAGTATAGTTTCTGATTAAGTATTCAAAGCATTACTGACCCATCAACCCACAAGAGAGAAAAGCACCAAAAGGAATATTTTGAAACCTACCTTTATTTACGGGTAAATACTCTAATTTAAAGTTTTTTTTCCCTCGATTTTTATGAGCAATGCATTTTAATAAGTGTTTAATCTTAAAAATCCATGACAATTTGAACACAAGTTACTAGTATTCACTGTAAATCACTTTTTCTTTGTGAAAACTTTATTTTTGCATCATTACATGAGACAATGAGCTTGCGAAAATATCATTCTTGCATACAAAAGTATTCTTTACAATTACAAAATAGGGAAAAAATGAAAATGAAAATTATGTCTTACTAATAAAGAGTCGATGCCTATCTCATGAAAATAAGGTGTCGCAAAAAATTTAGTGATGTCCAGTAATATCATATCTATTGACAGGTGCTGATCCCTATAAAGGACAGCGTATTGAAGGAGATGGTAACTGTTTTTACCGATCTCTATCCCTCTACTTGTACGACAGCCAGGAGTACCACAGAAATGTACGCCAGCAAATTCTGACCTTCATGTCGGATCGAGAAGATCGATATCAACGTTTGATTGAGAGAAATGTGAATTATCATGATTATGCCAGATATATAAGGTTTGTTTTCACAATCAGGCATTTCCAAGTTTTTTTTTCTATGTTTAACATCCATGGAAGATTGTTTCGGTCTAAATGTAATTTGTTATATCCCTTAGCTTCACAATATGTTTAAACTCGTGGGGAATGAAAATCGCTTCGGTATTTAAGCATCAATTCATAATAATTGTTTTTGCTATTAGCATGTTTTACTGTACATGGAAATATTTATGTTCTAACAGTGATCATAGGCGAGATGGTGTATGGGCAGAAGACGCCATCGCTCAAGCTGCGGCTGACTTATATGGAATTGACATATATGTGACGCATTATAGCAGTAATGGAGAAACGTCTCAACACTTACAGCTTACCAGAGCCAGATCAGAGCAAAATTCTCAAAGATGGCTTCATTTGCAGTTACATGTACAACAGAGTCATTATGAGATTATTAATGGTAATTTTAAGCATATTTTCATAATTAATTTTGATAATTAGAAGAGATCTGATAACTTAACATATTATATTTTTGTTAAGCACATCTTTTGTATACACTGACGAGTGTTTATGAATATGGTTGTCTTATGATGTTTACTTAAGGTTCATAAACCCTCTGCTCACTCATATAAAATGTTGCTTGAACCTTAATGATTTTCCAAAAGAGATGTATTTTTTAGTAAAATACAAACAATTATAACATAGCTTGCGGGGCAAAATTGGACAAAAAAGATACTTCAACTTGGCAAATCTATAAAGGAATAATAGACATTTATGTCATTTAGAGTTATCTCTCTTATCAGAGTATCAATGGACCTTAAAGCAATGTTACTAGAGAGTTTTTCAAATTTTTGGCAGTTAGGAATAAATCTCACAGAGAAAAGTGATGTTGTTGGTCTTAGAACTGAAAAATATTGTTATTATAAAATAATGTAAATATTATAATGTAGGATACTGTACGTGTACATAATTGGCGTATTCAAAATTTAGCATAATCACTGGGTATAGAGTTGTTGGGGTAATCATGAATTAGTGCTACTTATGTCTGTGCAGTGTATTGTATATATAAATGATTTCTTAGCAGTATTCAAGAATTAGCGCATCATTATCTGGGCCAAAGTCGCTAAAATATGAAGCCCGCTTTTTTAAGTTCACATACAGTATTTTATCCACAGATTACAGTGAAGAAGGTGTTTCAGAACCAAGTTGTCATTCAGACTTGCTGTCTATTCAGGACCCAGCAGAAGTAGAGACCTTAGGTTAGTGATTTTTGTGTCCAGTTATACTGTATACAGGGTTATTTTCGCCCTTTTGAACTTGTGAACAATTTTGCCCCATTTAGAATTCACCCAGTAATAGTTCTGTTTAAGAAAATATGCAGTGTAATTTGAATTCGTCCCGTTTTAAATTCGCCCAGTCAAGGAGAGGGCGAAAGAGGCAAAAATAAAATGGGGGGGGGGGGAATTTTGCTTTATTTATCCACCCTTCACACTTTGCTTTTGGCTCAGTTTCAAAGATTATTTTTAAAGCCACAATTCACACAGCGATACTTTTCAAGTCTGGCCTATTTTTATGACCTTGACCTGAAGTGTGACCCAGAACATTCTTTGTCCTTTTTTTTCATTTAGCTCAATTATAAAGTTATTAAACCAAATATTTTTGTTCAAAATGATATGCTGATTCATGTTGCTTGGAACTTTTTATTTATATCTGTGTCATTTTTCTCGACCTTGACCTTTTTTAGGTCGACCCACTATTCCTTGTTTCAAAAAAACTGTTCCATATATATTTCATCATATACTTATGCAAAGATACATATTCAATGATAAGAATCATCTGTGTCAATGTTTTCTGATCTTGGCCTTCCTTATACATTATAATTATATTTATTATTTCTTTATTATTTTCTTATTTCAAATTTCACTTCATAATAATTTTTGTTCATAATAATTTCACCAAATTTCATGTACTTATGCAAACATTGTGAGAACTATTCAACTGTCATAATTTCAGAGCATGGCCTTTTATATTACCTTAACTTCATTTTCTAGATGTTTGAATCAAGATTAATATAATTTTTTAAATAGGTTACATAGAAATATTGACCACTGTCATACTTTTCTGACCATGACTTTCCTTCTGACTTTGACCTTCTCATGACTGTGAGCTTTACCTTTGAAAATGTTTCAAAATCAAACTTATTACAATTATATGCATGAATATATTGATGGCAGCAATTCAACTGAACCATTATATTGTTTCCTTGACCTCCCCAATGACTTAATATTCCATCATTTTAAATTCCCTGAACTTCAGAACATTCAAGTATTTTATTTTTTGGGGGGTTGGGGGTGGAGGGGGATCGGTATATAAACTGATGAATGATATTTTCAAATGATGCAAAATTAATACCTCTCAGAAATAATTTTTATAAAGCAAAAACATTTTTGACCCAGGCAAAAGTTGTTTTATATAAGTATATTTTCAAATACTTGTAATTGATTTGTAAACAAATCTTACTACATTTTAGTAACATCATATAACTGAGATAATTTATGCAGAAGATGTTTTTTTTACAAAGATCAATGGATATATTCATTAGCACGGTACAATGTTTCTGTATCAACATTTACAGGTAGATGTGGCATGGATATTTGTGAAAAGGACAAAGCTAGTATACAAGAGTCAGGTAGAAGCAAACTCATACCTGAAGAGGAAATGCCTGAAATAAAGGACCCTCCAATGGAAGAGGAAACTACAAACAAAATGTCTGAAAGGAAAGTCATCCCTGAAGAGGAAATGCCTGAAATAAAAGACCCTCCAATGGAGGAGGAGAGTATTTATAAAATGTCTGAGAGTAAACTCATCCCTGAAGGAGAGGAGATGGAAATATTACACCCCCCAATGGAGGAGAGAAACATCCCTCACAGTAATACACGCCTTCCAGATGAGGAATTGTCAGACCCACTAGTGAAGGATACTGAATTAACAGAAAAAATAGACCCCTCATCTGAGGATAATGTGGATAACATCTGTAGAGGTGAGGAAACTACTAAAATCTATTAATTACTGTGGAATCGTCGGGGGGGGGGGGGGGGGTTGATCATGGATTTCATGGGTTCACCCCTTTCAACAAATTTATTTCCCCTCAAACAACATATTTCCTTAAATAATCTTCTGTATGTAGGAGTTACCCATGAAACAACCACCCCAGGAACCATAAAAAGTTTGCTTGCCCTCAAACTGACCCCCACAAATTGAAGTGATATTCCACAATACTTTTTATTCACAAGAACTTTATTTTTACATAAATGTGCAAAGCAATCTGCTCTCAAATTTCCATTTTTGCTAACTTCTAACAAATGGAGCATAATGAAAGATAAAATATAGCCAAAAAATAACTAGAAATCACAATAAATACAATGTTACTTTATCACTAATATAAGATCTCATAAAATTCTTCCATTTAGAAACATTTATAAGTAAAAAATCTAAATATCTGGATTAGTTGATAGTGCAAACTAGTACTTCTTAACTTATAATCAAGTTCATTGAATGATCAACTGGGTAGGTCAGTTTTCAGGTACTAAGATATACCGTATAAGAGAAAATTTTAGCGAGATGCAAATTTAGCGATTTGTCCTTGAAAATTGGTTTTTAGCTGACCTCAACGAAGTTGGGGGGAGCTTATGTAATACCCTCGTCGTCGGTGTCGGCGTCCCAGGTTAAGTTTTTTGGAGCAGTTTTCTTTTTAAGTACTTCTATGCCCTATATTGATTAGACATGCATGGAAGATGGTTCTAGTGTGTTTCATTGTACCAGTCAAAGTTTCAGATGCTGCAATTTCAGCGAAGGAATGACCAGATTAATGTTTTTGGTGCAGGTTAACATTTTTGGTGCAGTTTTTGGTGTAGGTCTCATTGTACAATAGATAAGTTTTATTTTCACTTTCTTTAAGTATTTGATAGGATTCTTGTTGATTTTAATCATTCTACAGGGGGGCCCTTCTTTCCTGACAATTAAGAAAGACCTAAAGGGGTGCTTATGGGGGCAGGGGCTGTTAATAGGGATTATACAGTAAGCCAGAAATGTAAGTTCAACAAATTAAAATTATCTTTATATTTTAAGGTTTCAACGTCGTTAAAATACATGAAGAGGAGAAAGGTAATGATATAATTATATGTTTTTTATCATACGTACATCATTACATGTAATATATTATCTGGCCAAGCATTTATATATAATCATATGTGCAGCTCTGTAAGTTATATTGTGCTACATGAATATAAAAAAAATCATGCTTTATATTTTGTCACAAGATCATGCCTCTTTAGTCTAGACTTTCCTTAATATAATTTATTTATTTTTTTAAAATAGATTTTGAAGATCAACATCAAAAGAAGAGGATAAGGAACAGTATTTATCAAGTGGAATTAAAACAGACAGAGAGCAGGCTTATTGGAAATGAAAGAGGTATGTTTTTATTTATAAAGTGATGAATATTTATTTTTTGAAAGATATGCAGTCACATACAGTAATTGCAATGCTGTGTGCAAACAAATTGAGTAATGTACGTTTTTTTGCATACATTGTTGCAATAATGAGACTATATCTTTCCAAAATAAAGATTCATTGCTTATATTTACATTTTAAAAACTCTCTGCCTTAAATTTACTGACAATGTGATTAATATTTTAGAATCCATGTATTATCCTTTGTGTAAGGTACTGCTAATGGAAGAGGTAATGTGACAGCTTTTAACCCCCTTTTCTTGTTATGGTGTTTTTGATACCATAGATTTCAACATACTTTATATGCGAAATACATGTGTAATGTAAAATATTCTGTGAAATTGCCAATATCGTGGGGGTTTAATTTCATGGAGTTCATGAACTTAAGAACACCTCCCAATGTAAAATTTATATATATTACAACTCATCACTCCTCCAACCATGAAATAAAATCCCCACTAATCAATATTTTTCAAACCTAAAAAATAGACCCCACGAAAAATGTGATTTTACAAAAGGTTAGTAGGAAATTGTTTTCAATTTATTTTCATTGCATATAGTTGCTTTTGCATGTTTCAAAAAGTAAGAGAAGAAAAATGCTCCTGAATGACTGGATTTTCTAAGGAGAAAAGAAAACAATGATTAATATAGTAGCACCAAAAATTTAAATACACACATTTTAAATTTAATTAAGCAATAATTGTATAAGGGTTGGAAATGTTATGACAGAGTTCATTATCTATAGCTGGACATATCGGTTTAAAAAAAAAAACAATTTTTTTTTCTTTTAAGATTTGACCTCAGGCAGACCTATAGTGGAGAATTTAGGAAGGCTGGAAGATCTTCATATTGAATTAGAAGGAGAAGGTGAGATAAACTGTATTATATAGTTACTCAAAAGTTATTTTAGCCAGATGTAGTAAATTCAATTGCAACTTCTCGGCCTTTCAGACTAGCAGAAAAACAGCCTCAAATGTATTACATAGACGTCATGACAATTAACCCTCTTTTTTTCACATATTTTGGAATAATAATAATAATTAACTTAATTGAATGTAAAGATATTACCTAAAATATACCACAGAAGGGACTTTTCACTCTGTCTATTCCATATCTTTATAATAGGAAGTTGTATAAATTTTGAACATCATGTGATGTTAATACAGTAAAACTCGGTTATAACGAAGTCACTGGCAACTGCAAAATTACTTCGCTATATCTGGAATTTATAATATATCTGTATAAGGAATTCGTTCAATTTATACAACTGGAAATCCAAGATAACTTTGTTGTATCCATGAGTTCACAATATCCATGTTTGTACTAAATGAGTTTTACTATACACTCAAGGTTGTTTCTCTGGCGGAAAGACCCGAAATGTTTATGATGATGTGATTGATACAAATTTAGTAATTAATTCAACTATAAAAATCTGTATATAATTTTAGCAAAAAGTACTTTTAGTGCCTCGACAATATTTTCTAGCCTTAACTCTGTAGCGCTTAATGAATTGCTAGCAACGTGTGATTTTAACAATTGCAACATTCTAGTATTTATTAGGGCCCCGCAAGAATTTGCGGGTGCCCTATAGTAATCACTCTGTCTGTCCGTCTGTCTGTCTGTCTGTCCGTCTGTCACTCTTCCGTCCACAAATTTTCTGTTTTTTTCTAATAACTTTTTTTATGGCTGCCCAATCAAGTTCAAATTTGGTATGGTAGTTCAGTAGGCAGAAATACATATTTTGATGCTAAGTTTGGTTCTCTATGTCTTCTGGTTTGGAGCTGGGGTGGTGGGGTAGATTCCTTAACTAGATGCATAATAATGAATGGGCAACTTTTTTTATGGTTGCCCAATCAAGTTCAAATTTGGTATGGTAGTTCAGTAGGCAGAAAGACATATTTTGATGCTAAGTTTGTTTCTCTATGTCCCCTGGTTTGGAGCTGGGGTGGTGGGGTAGATTCCTTTACTTTATATAAGAATGTATTGGCAAAGAGAAATAACTGCTGAAGATGTTCCCATTGTAACTGAATGCTGCTATGAGTCCCTTGGGATTAATTAGCTTTCGTCCTGAAGGAAATCCAGAGCATTATCTTTATCTGTCACATTGAGATGAATTACCGCAAATGAAGTTTGTTTTGAAGTTAAGTCAATTTGGAATGTTATGAACACTCTGAAATGTGGATTTAAATGTAAATTTTTATAATTTATTTTTGTTAAATAGTTATGATTTCATTGAATTCTAAAAACAAGAAATAGATTAAAGAAGATTTTTTGATTTATTTTTTTTACTTTATGTTAATTCAAGAATATTATTAATTTTTAAGGTAGTTGTATAAAAACCCCATTCTATCATTAATACTGAAAAAGTTCTTATTGTAACTTTAGAAGAAAATGATTAGAGAGGTACAATTAATCCCTTGGGATTAATTATCTAGCCTGCTGCAGAAAATTTAGTAGGCTTTTCTTTATCTGTCACTTTAAGATTAATGAAAATCTTTGTCTGCAACTGCTGTTTGTTTGAAGTTATATTTGCATTCATTGAAGGCTGGCATTTTATAAAAGATAAGCTTCATAATTGTGTAAATATACATTCAATGTTAAGTTTTTCTTTATTGCCTAATGTAAATACAAGGATATTATTTTCAGGTTTTTGAATATTCAGGAATTATCTTAAAATTTTAAGAATACAGTTGCTGTTGCTTATTCTTCATACATTTTTTAATCATTCCATAAGCTGCACCCTTATAATTCTACCCCATGGCGGGGCCCTTGCTGACTGGTCAGTTTTCTAGTTAAGTGTGATAAAATGTGTTTATTTATATTACTTAAAATGCATGAAATTAAAATTTAAACATGTTATAAAAGAAAACAAAGAATAAAATGTGTAGATTTGCAGATATGTTTTGAATTGATATATATCATTGATTGAAAGTTCTCTGTTTTATTGAAAAAATTATTTCTTTTTGCACAGCATGTAGTGAAATTCCTGTAAATGAAGTCTTGCGCTCTGATTCTGAAGAAAGTATTGAAAATCGAACAGACGTACGATTGGAGAAAAAGACACATGTAAGTACCCGGGATGTATTTCTACACCTGTATTAAAGTCAGTTGACACATTCCCCGAAAATATACAACTTGTCCCAAGAATTGGAAGAATTTGTGCTGGACGTATTGCTACTCGATCAAAAAGGTTTCCTTGCCAAAAATTGGGGTACATAAAAACCAGGCATTTGTGCTAGATTCAGGAGTATTGTCATTCCTGTAGAAGCCTACTCTGTAACTGCTGATGTCATGATGTTTATATATCTTTCAAACTTAATCAAGACAGTTTTGAAATCAAAAGACAGTGAAGATTATAAATATTTTATTATTGATTACAAAAGATTGCCAAATCAGGCAACTTTTTCACCAACAAATCGCAAGTCATAACTCTTAGTAAAATGCACTTACGCATGTGCTACATTCAAGTTTATTAGTACAAGCTAAGACCTGTTAGTGAAACCATCGTCAGATATTCAAGAACCATGTTGTCAGGCCGTAATTAAGAAAATGCAAAACTTATTATATTTTAAATGATCAGTATAGACATATGTTTGCTA